CGTCAGGCTGAAAGGCTCCAGCTCCCTGACAATCCAGCTCTGCTGGGGCATCTCCAGCATGGAGGCTCTGAGGTCTTGGCAAGTCGGCTCCCTGTGGGAAAGGCTCCGTGGAGCTGGGGCTTCCGTCGGAAAGCGCGAGGCTGCCCCGTGATGCCCTCTGCCCCCTCCTGAGCCTGGAAACAGAGGCTGGGGGCAGGTTTCTGTGAAGCGGGGAAGGCCTCCTCGGCATCTGTTCTCACAGAGGGCGGAGCGCCCCGGTGTGTGTTGTGGTGGTGACGGGTATGTTTGTTTCCTGTGTGACTGCTGGAAAAGTGAGAGAAACAAAGTAAGGGGGAGAGGCAGGGAGGACTCATCGCTAATGCTCAGTGTCTCATTTTCTCCATCCCTAAAGTGGGTGTAAGGCTAAATCCACCGGTGCGACCAGAGAGCTGAGCTCCTTGGATGCTAGAGACGGGCAGAAGGTCATTCTAGAAGGTCGGGTGTAAGGCTAAATCCACCGGTGCGACCAGAGAGCTGAGCTCCTTGGATGCTAGAGACGGGCAGAAGGTCATTCTAGAAGGTCGCTCTCTGCAGCCTCAAAGAGCAGCCTCGGCAAAGAGACTTGCCCAGAGTCGCACAGTGCGTCAGAGCCTGGGAAGGACAAAGGACTCGGTGCTAGGCCACCACTCGCACGGCAGAGGCCACAGCGTTTCTCTTTGGAGGGGCCCCTGGGCTGGACACTTGGGGCAGCCCAGGGAGGTGAGAGGAACAGTGAGACTGGGGGGAGGAGGGGCAGTAAGTGATGCGCCCGCCGTGAGAAGTCTTGTTTCTCTGAGCCCTAGAGGAGAGGTTGCTGGGGTGTCACCTGCCCCCCATGTTGATAAGTGACCGGGAATCCAGTGAAGCCCCTTGTGTCTCCTCCACATCCCGCCTCCTGGGCTCCGAGTCTCTCTGGAGACTGATCAATCTCGACCCCAGCCGATTGGAAGCCCCTCGGGGTGCAAATTGCAGCAGCAACATTAGAAAACCAGCCTCCCTGGGAAGGGATTCCAGCTGCCCAGGGGAGCAGGGAGGGCAATACCCAGAGTCGCCAGAGGAGGGCAGCACCTGCATACGGTCGGTTCCCTGCCTTGCCAGAGCTGAGTGTGTGGATTCCAGCTTTGCCCGGGACCAAAGCTTGGGGCAGGGAGAGTCAGGAGTCCATAAGGGATCCACAGCTCCTGCCACCAAGAAGTGAGAGATTCTCCTACTGCGCTGTCAGCTCTGGGAGGGAGGCTAAGGCCGGGGCCCGTCAGTAACTAGGGATCTCATATGGGGCGCCCAAGTTTTTCCATGCCCGTCTGTATTTGCCATACACAGATAGCAGGCGTTTCCCCTGGTCTAGGCCTGTTGGCTGGAATAGCGCAGAGAGGGAGGGGGCTGGCGTGGAATGGCTGGCTGCGGGCCCTCTGAGACTCAGGAAATGCGGGTTAGGCCCAGTGTCACCGGGCATCGAGGCAGGGAGCTGATGGCATTAGAGCTCTGTGGTGTTTCATCCCGTGTACCTTGCATGCCCCCGTAGCCGAGGACGCCAGTGTCGGGGTGAGGCGCCGTCACAGAGCGGCCGGGGCC